GTGCGATCTGTGCAGTCAACGCCGCCTTCAGCTCCGGTGGCGGCATCGGCTCATGCCCCGTCCCGACTCCCGGAACCCCGTACCCCACGGCCCCATTCCCGATGACGCCATTTCCCAGAGCCCCGTGGCCCACAACTCCGTGGCCCACAACTCCGTGACCCAGAGCTCCGTGATGTCCCAGAGCTCCGTGGCCCAGAGCCCCATTTTCGGCTGCCATCAACATGGCGTCCGCAGCTGGCAGTTCCTCGGCCGGAAACAGCTCCGTCAGTGGCCCGAATTGCGGACCGGCAAGCGAAACCGCCCCCAGCGGCTCGGTCTCGTAACCGTCGGCCACGACCTGCCTAAAGTTCCGCGGGAGGCGGAGTTCAGCATCGAGTGTGTGCGGCTGTGCACACACGGGTGCGAGGCCGCCGCAGCAGCGGCGGCTCGACGCAGTGCAGCGGTGCTGAGGGCGGGTCGCAGGGTCTCGCCGCAGGGAGCCGGACACGTGCGCGCCGGACGGGCACGTGGCGGACACGTGTGTGCACACATCGCCATCCGCACCGGCTAGCTCCCGCACACACTCCGGAGTCTGCACTCGGCCGCACACTGTCGTGTGGCACTCATCCCACGGGTGTTTGCTGTTGTGGTTGCAATCGTGTGTGCAATCGTGTGTGCAGTCGTGTGTGCAATCGTATTGGTGGGGCAGCAGGTCTGGATCAGAGTTGTTGCAGCACTTGGGGCTTTCGGGGCAGCTGCAGGGCAAGACGGGACAGCTGGAGGGGCGGCAGCACGAGGTTTCCAGTTTTTTCACCAAGGCGTCTTGATTCGCTATCAGGGTCTTGATGGTGGCCTTGAGCTCTTCCTTGGTGAAGCGTTCGGCGTCCGACGCCGAGTCTGAACTAAGTGAGCGACTGGTGGAGCTGTTGGAAAACGAGTCGGAGTCCGCTGGCCAGGAGTCGAACTCGTTGTCTTCGTTCCACATTCCCCGACAGTCGGGCGGGCGATGGCGCAGGTGCCAACTGGCTCGTCTTCGCCCTGGCTCGCGGTAGACGGCTCGTGAGCCCGTCCACCCCCAGGGGTCGCACGGCCACGGTTCGGGTGACCCACGTTCTCGGTACCAAGTATCGGGCGGTCCACGGCCTCGGGACCTGGGACCGGACTCAGCGTGTCTATCTCTTCGGTACAGCAGTCTGGGGGACTCGAAAAAATGGCGGCCTTCCCTTCGTTCCCCTCCTAACCGGCTCCCAAGCAGTGTCGTACCACGCAGTGTCGTACCACGCGGGGTGGTACCGCGAGGGGGAGTGTTGTCACGAAGTGATCTACCATGCCGTCTTGGCGAGTGACCAAGAGGACTGTTTGGTGAGCTGCCCCGACTCCGACAGCGGTAAAGGTCAGTTCGTTGGGACCGCGCGGTTTTTTTCAAGTTAGACAAATCCGTTTTTGCCTCAGAAAAGAACCGCCGATTTTGTGGCGGAGAAGAATGTAGCAGACCGTCTGCAGCTCCTGAAGCCACCTTTAAAAATGGGTCCTGCCCATAGACGTACTGTGGCATCGTGTTTCCTGATGCACCCAACCTTCGTCGGTCATATAAGGACTTTCCCCCACAAGTGTTGCCCCCACACAAGGACTCCCACTGTGTTGCACGGCTCCCACGTTCTTTTGGCGTTTATATATTGACACATCGCACAAAATTCAGTTAAGATATTTTGGTGTGACGCGTGTGCGCGGGGCTGAAAATCGGACTGAATCGCTTGTGCCCGTCAGATCTGAGCTTCAACAGATCTGAGCTTCAAACTTGAGTGCCTGTCATCAATCTGAACATTAAATTCTGATGAACATTAAATTCTGATGAACATTAAATTCTGATGAACATTAAATTCTGATAGACATTAAATTCTGGTAGTCATACATTATTCAATAGAAATAGTTTCATGATGGCAACGATGATGGTCCTCACGAATTTATTTTGTGACAGCACCCATGTAAATTAGAGCAACTCTCGTTTTCGCGAACACCAGTCCAACTGCGGGGTACAATGGTCGGGTACGAGGCTGACATAGCTCAACTACAAGGACATGTCCGTGGCTCGAACCATCGAGGGTAGGGTTCTTCCGCCGGCCGTAAGGTGTGTGCGTGTGTTCTTACTTGACTCTAGACGGCCGTCGTTCATTTTAAGGACGAGAAGAGTGTGCCCGGTATCTGCGTTGACAAAGAGGCGCATGTCCATGGGGTCGAATAAGGGTGTCTTTCCGTTGACTAGATCAAATTCTAGAGTTCTAGCTTGCTTGCCTTCGTGCATGATGGTTCCATTGACGAGGTCGAGGCCCCAGCTGTGGGGCTGTCGTCCGACCCAGGAGCAGTATTCACTAGAGACCCGTACTTGGCACCGGTTTCCAACTACGCCAATGGTAGCGTGCGATCCGAACGGCGGCGCCCAGCAGACTCTCCAGCAGTGTCTTCCCGCCGCAGGGGCACGACGCGCCTTGACCGGGAAGGTACCAAAGGCGGCAAGCCGCGTGTACGTCAGTCCCCGCACATTTGGAGACTGCTCCCAAGCAAAGTCGAATGCCCGCAAATACGCGATTGGGTTTCTCAACAACGCCTCCAAAGGCAACCATGACAACGCCTCCAACGACTCACGCCTAACCTGCTTGGAACAGCTAGCCGTGGACTCCAAGACGGGCAATGCCCCGCTGCTCGCCATCTGTAACTCGTCCCGGATGATCTTGGTCATCAGAAACCACACACCAAGACATTCGGTGGCGTGCCTTGTCTTCCGGCTCACTTGTCGTAATGACCGCCACACATCGAAGCCACCATAGCAAATGATTAACGCCAATGCAATCTGATATCCCGAACAAATACAATCTTCCGCCCGACTCGGGTATATGAGGTTAGAAATAGTTTGGTAGTTGTTTATAACTGAGTTGGTCATAACTGAGTTGGACTTGGATGATCGTAAAGAATTCAGGGACCGTGAAGGCAATGCCTTCAACATCATGTTCATCATAGACTGACTTCTGCCAACCATCCTTCGTCCCATTGTTGTCCATGAGGAGGACTGTCTCTGTGTTCTGAATGGCGAAAACTGGGTCGTGCTCATTCCGAATTTTGAGGATAATTTTGTAATGGTAGAAGCTGCACCTGTCAAACCCGATCACAGTTGCGACGAGGTGACAGTTGTTTGTGACACCAAAGTACTGACCACGAAAACAGAGTCATATCATGTCTCGGATATCGGCGTCAGACAACTAAGTGAATGCCGAGTGCCCAACTTGGTACTCAAACCCATGACGATAGAGGACTATGACCGCGTTAGGGATATTCTTCCTAGCGTCACGCGATGCAGCTCACGGTACTCCCGAGAGACCGTCGAGCAGATGCTCCAGTTTCCTTCGTTGTAAGACTGACCCCGACGGCACCCGAACATGTCTTGACCCCGACGGCACCCGAACATGTCTTGACCCCGACGACTGTTTTCATAGTTTCCCATTCATCATTGTGGACACACTAAATGACACGTTGATCGGGTACGCAGAAGTGCACCGAATGCCACATCTGGGACGTGGAATGGACGGCCGTTTGGAGAAGGTAATTATCAAAGAGGAGTACCGGGGGAAAAAGGTGGCGCAAGTTGCTTGTAGAGAATTAATGGACATCGCAAAGAACGTTTTGAACTGCGGCAGGTGCGATCTTACCGTCGAAAAGCCTGATGCAATGACCGTATACGAACGCCTAGGCTTTGAACCAGTTTCCACCAACGTGTGGAGATTGATGCTCTAAACGTTCTACAACACAAACCTGTTACAACACAAATCGACAAGGCCGGTAGATTGTCTGTCTGATTGATTGTCTGTCTGATTGTCTGTCTGATTGTACTACTACTACTTGAATACACGATATCGGCTCGTACCGAAGAACATGATTAATCTTTTGGCAAGTTGGTCTTTTGGCAAGTTGGTCTTCTGGCAAGTTGGTCTTCTGGCAAGTTGGTCTTCTGGCAAGTTGGTCTTCTGGCAAGTTGGTCTTCTGGCAAGTTGTTATCTATTCCTGCGTATAAGGCAAGGCATAAGGGTAAGGGTTCTGTTATGTGTTGTGTATAGAGGTGGAGTAACCGCGGTATGATACGTGTGTGTGAGACAAGTGTTAGGATAATATCGAGTGAACATTGAGTCGGGTGGTGATTTGTAGGTGTGGTTATTTTGGGGGGGATTTTGGAATATAAGTAAGTGTTGAGGTGGGAATATAAAAATCCCTGGTCGTAAATGGAGGGTTTCAAGGCCGAAGATGAAGTGGAGGTAGAGGGTGAATTCTTTAACGAAGGTTCGTCTCAGGAGGAGGATGATGAGGGTATGGATGGGGGTAGTGAGGTGGACGAGGAGGACGTGGAGGGTGAGGAAATTACCCCGGCAGATTCATGGGAGCCGATTTCTGCTTTCTTTCGTGCGCACGGTTTAGTGTTTCAGCAAGTAGAATCGTTTAACTACTGTGTAGCATATAGTTTGCAGGAGGTTATTACGAACCATCCACCGATTGCTATTACGCTTCCGGCGACTCAGAGCGACACGGAAGGTGCCGATTTCCAGATCCAGTACCGTTTCAAGTTCACGCAACTGACTTTGTCGAGGCCGACAGTGGAGGAGGCCAGCAATGAAGGGCGACCTATTTGGCCACAGGAGGCTCGGTTACGTAACTTGACGTATAGCGCTCAGTTATATGTTGATGTTATGCAAGAGACTTTCAAAGTCTACTCTAATGGGACAGAAGTAAAGGCAGATTTCCAAAAGTATCCCCAAGTACCTCTGGGAAGGATACCTATCATGTTACGTTCCGCTTATTGCTGGCTACATAATTTGTCGGAGATGCGACGTGTGGAAATGGGGGAATGTGGCTTCGACCAGGGTGGGTACTTCATTGTTAATGGGATGGAGAAAGTGTTGATAGCACAAGAGAAGATGGCGAGTAATTTTGTGTACGTGTTTAAGAAAAGTAATAACAAGGTTAGTTGGGTTGCTGAAATACGCTGTCAACGTGAGGATATGCAGGCAACATCACCGTTTGCTATTAAAATCCGTTGTCGAAGTACTGGTATCAAGAGTAAGGCTGGTGGTCAGATTGTATGTGTGCTTCCTTATATTAGGTCGGAGATACCCCTAGTAGTGTTGTTTCGGGCATTGGGTATATTATCGGATAATGATATTTGTCAGCGCATTGTACGTGACCCTAATGACTATGAGATGTTAACATTATTGAAACCGAGTTTAGAAGAAGGTAGTTTGTTCTTAACACAGAGTGTGTGCTTGGATTATATTGGACGACGTGGACCAACGGTAGGTGCACCGAAGGAGCTACGTGTGCAATACGCACGTGAATTGTTACATCGCGAGGTCTTATCACACGTCGGACACACACCCGGCTGCGAAAACCGGAAAGCATGGTTCCTCGGCAACATGACGCATCGACTGTTGCAGGGTGAGTTGGGTCGTGCACAGGAGGATGACCGTGACCACTTTGGCAAGAAACGCATCGATTTGGCTGGTGCTCTGATCTCCTCTTCTTTCGGACAGTTATTTCGGAAGATGGTAAAAGACGCAACGCGTACTTTACAAAGGCAAATCGAAGGTGGCCGCAACTTCGACTTGGCAGGTGCTATTCGTATGACATCGCCAATCACCCAGGGACTGAACTACCAGCTCGCCACGGGTAACTGGGGCAAAAATAAGGAGGGTGCCGTGGTTCGAACCGGGGTCTCACAGGTGTTGAACCGCCTCACCTTCCTGTCTGCGCTTTCCCATCTACGGCGCCTCAACACCCCGCTCGGTCGTGAAGGCAAAATGGCCAAACCGCGCCAACTACACAACACGCATTGGGGCATGATATGTCCCGCAGAAACACCAGAAGGTCAGTCAGTAGGTCTCGTAAAAAACCTCGCTCTCATGTGTCGTATTAGCGTTGGTTTTAATTCGACACAACTTAAGAATTTCTTATGGGACTGTGGTATGCAAGCATTGGACGACATGACACCGGCAGAGATGCAGAGTCAAGTGCGTGTCTTCGTTAACGGGGCATGGCTAGGATGTTTCCCCGTTAATAGTGAGATCGTGTTGTTCCTCAAGCAACTACGACGGGAAGGCAAGATCAGTAACGAGGCATCAATTGTGTTCGACGCTGCCAATCGTGAGATCCGTATTTTCTCAGATGCTGGACGTTCGTTGCGTCCATTATATCTGGTCAAGAAGAACAAGTTGGTAATTAGAAAACACCACATTCAGTCGATTGCGGAATCACAGTCACCCGATGATTGGAGCTACTTAGTTAAACAAGGCACGGTCGAGTTCCTAGACTGTGAGGAAGAGGAAGCGGCCATGGTCGCCATGTTCGTAGAGGACCTAGATGAGAAGCGTGCTCCTTCTACGTCTACTCAAGTAGGTTATTGCAAAACGTATACCCACTGCGAGATCCATCCTTCCATGCTCCTAGGAGTATGTGCCACTCTGATCCCTTTCCCTGACCACAACCAGTCGCCCCGTAACGTTTATCAGTCGGCCATGGGGAAGCAGGCTATGGGAATTTACATTAGCAATTTCAATCTGCGATATGACTCCACCGCTCACGTGCTATTCTATCCGCAAAAGCCGTTAGTATGTACACGTGGCATGGCGTATCTGCGATTCCGCGAACTACCTGCCGGTATCAACTGCGTCGTAGCTATAATGACGTATACCGGTTACAACCAAGAGGACTCTCTCATTATGTCCCAAAGCAGCATAGATCGTGGTCTTTTCCGTTCTATGTTCTTCCGCACATATGTTGCTGAAGAACGTCAACGGGGCTCTCTACGTATTGAGCAATTCGAAAAACCCGATCCAGCTACCGCTTTTGGTCTAAAACGTGGCGACTATAGCAAGCTGGACATTGATGGACTTGCTGAACCAGGATCCTTCGTTCTAGGTGACGATATTATCATCGGCAAGACTATGCCAGTTTCAGTGGAAGAATCTATGGCTTCTTCAGGACCGAATAAGAAGACTAAGAGAGATGCTTCACACATACTCCGGACATCTGAAAACGGTGTTGTTGAGTCCGTTATGCTATCCGTTAATGGGAAAGGCTTTCGTTTCGTCAAAGTTAAAGTCCGCTCTGTTCGTGTTCCACAGATCGGAGATAAATTCGCTTCTAGACATGGTCAAAAGGGAACTATCGGAGTCACCTATCGTCAGGAAGATCTGCCCTTTAATCGCGACGGGACAACACCTGACATTATCATGAACCCACATGCTATTCCCTCTCGTATGACAATCGGACACATTGTTGAGTGTTTACTTGGCAAGTACTACGCCATTGTCGGGGGTGAAGGTGATGCGACACCGTTCATGGGTCTTCAGGTTATGGACATTACAGAAAAATTAAATTCCGTTGGTCATCAACGTTTCGGAAATGAACGACTTTACAGTGGTTTCACAGGACTCCCTCTTGAAAATCTCATCTTCTTTGGACCCACGTATTACCAACGCTTGAAACATATGGTCGATGACAAAATTCATAGTAGGGCACGTGGACCCATTACTACTCTCACCAGACAACCCATGGAAGGACGCAGCAGAGAAGGCGGCTTACGATTCGGAGAGATGGAACGGGATTGTATGATAGCACACGGCGCTGCTAAAATGCTTAAGGAACGACTCTTCGACCAATCAGATGCTTACCGCGTTCATGTCTGTGACCTCTGCGGCCTCTTCGCCACCGCTGACCTCACACAAGGCCACTTCAGCTGCCCCGGTTGCCAAAATGAAACGCAGATTTCACAGGTCTGTATCCCCTACGCATGCAAACTACTCCTTCAAGAACTCATGGCCATGCAAGTATACCCGAAACTTTGCCTCACCGTGGCTTGATACCAATATTGGCCACCTGTCTCATATGCCTCTGGCAGGTAACTTGTGTGGGAACTCAAACTTGTGTGGCAACTCAAACTTGTGTGGCAACTCAAACTTGTGTGGCAACTCCAACATTGGGACTTCGAGCAGCCAACCAGCGTGGCAGACCTGTATAACAAATTATGGGGTCGCATAGTGTGCGTGTGATCGCATAGTGTGCGTGTGATCGCATCCATGATTAGTTAGAAGACCTAGTTTGCGATAGCACTATGATTGCTGGTGGGCCAAGCGTTGACACGACCGAGTTTTTATCAGTCGAAAAAAGTCGGCAGCTCGGTGTGTCACTGGGATTGTACTACGTGGGAGACGGAGGTCTCTGAGGTTGGGGGACTTTTCGGGCTTAAAAAATTAGATCGGGGGATTAATGGCTTTAGGACCAGACTCGCTGACGGGTTCTCCCGCTCGTATGGAGAACGGTATGCCGGCCACTAAGGGCGCGGCGGATAGTAGTGCGAGTTTGTTTTCGTCGGCAGAAAGTGGTTTACCGCCGGCTGTGAAGATCTCGTTAAGGGCGCAAGGTTGCGATCGGAAGGAGGAGCGAGCGCGCATTTCTATTCGCATGGATGACCCCGAGCAAATGATCGACAAGATATTAGATATACTGGCGGCGAAATTCCCGATTCACGCCTTCTACCAAGTTTTAAACAACGAGGACAAGTACAACGAAAAGATAGCGCAGAGAGTCGCACCTGACACAACGCCGAATACGTTTCAGACGAAGATACAGGAAGCCATGTACGAGGACCTGGTTTCCATCAGTCGGCAGTCAGCTGCGGCGCAGACAATTGTGTCCGCGATGCAAGGGGAGAGGATTGTGTCGACGGTGCAGGGAGAGCGCATAGGTGCAGGGGCTGAAACCCTAGTGAGCCCAACTGGGAGCGTCAGCTCGATTACCAATAGAACGATGACGGGCCTTTTGAAGGACGCCCTGGCGACCCTGAGTGCTGACGAACTAGTCGAAGTCACCACCAATGTGTCACCATCGAACACGAGTAAGCTCGCACGTGTGCTCCTCGAGCGCTGCAGACGAAGCTCTACGTCTAGTTTGCGCGAGGTTGTGAGCCAGGTCGCGCAGACGACCGTGCAGACGTCGGTACAACCGACGCCGGATTATGACGTTGGCTCGCGGGCTTCCTCCTCAGGCAAGTGGGAAACCGTGGACGAGAGCTTTCTTCTCGCGGACCGGGAAACCGAACACTCGAATGGAGCAGCCAGCGTTAGCAGCCAGTTCTCCATCACCTCGGGACTTCGCGATTCGGGCATTGACGAGTCCACTCCTGCGGAATTTGATCCTCAGTTGGTCGAACGAGTCATGCTCCTCAGCATCCAACAATTAGAGGAACTAGCGCAAGGGAACGCCCAAAGCGAACAGGAACTGCTACAACTAGTAAATACCAACGTGCACTTCCGCAAGTGGGTAGAAAGTCTCGTCGTCATCAGGAAACAACATGTAAGATTCGGAACTGGGTGGATATTTAACACGCTTATACTTAGAATAATACCCTGCCGTTTGCACACATCTTAGACTCTTGTTGCACACACGCCTTGGTTTCGACACACACACTGATCTGGGCACACAGATGAAACCTGCCTGTATTTCTTTCTCACTTCAGTCGGCTTCGAAAGCTACAAAGACTACGAGCCGGACCTCGGTGAACTTGGATGCTCAACCTGGCGTGACGGGAATCCGGATCGTCAAGGTCTCTGAGTCTGGTGGCCCTCAGGTCAATGCGAGTGCTGCTACAGGTTCCGTCACCACTGGTTCCGCCGATGTGACCAGAACCAGTAATATGACGACAACGACGACGAACGTGGTAAGTAGCAACGTGACGAGCGGCGGTGGCTCTGTTGGGCAGTTGAGTCCGACGAGTGTGCGGAGCAACGCTACTGGACCCTTTGGCGCCTACGGAAACTCTGAGACAGTGGGGCCGATGGCGTCGCAGATTAACTCTTCGATGTTGTCGGCGCATCAGTCTGCATTCCAGTCTACGCAGCAGTCTTCGACGCAGCAGTCTTCGACGCAGCAGTCTTCATTAGCGAGTACGGGCGCGGTGGAGGTGCCGTTAGGTATGCCCATTTCGGCGATGGCCGCGGCGGCCAACGATTTGGCTTCCTCGGAAACTTCGAGGCACCACGCCGGTTCGGTGCACCAAGCTGGCTCGGTACAGCTCACGGAACAGCGCGCCCCCTCCAGTCACATGAGCAGCCAGGAACACATGCGCACGGAGCAATCCCAAGTGGAGAGAACTGAGCTAGTACAGAGGACTGAACAGGTGAGGACGGAACAAGTACAGGGTACCGAGATGCAGGGGCAGATGTCGATGCCGGGAATTACGCGTCCTGGGCCTGGTGGACCTGGATCTGGTGGGTCCAGTGGACCAGGGTCTGGAGGCCCGGGATCTGGGTATGACGAGTATTCGGAGAGCAGCAGCCAGCAGCACATGATTGTGAATGTTTCGCAGATGAACTCACCGGTGGCCAGTGGAGCGATGTGTCGCTTGCCGCTTCAAGACCAGCGTGCGATTTGGCTGACGATGACGGAGAAGGCGTTGGAGTACGAGCAGGAGTTTGTCCGTCGGTCATGTGCGGAGAGAGTGCGGACCATGTTGGGCGCGGTGGGTGTGCCTGTTGAGGGTTTGGGTGAGTTGGACATGGCGGAGGTGGGTGCGAAGGTGGTGCGTTCGAATCCGGCCTTGTGCAAGCGGATCATTTTGGGGATCAAGTGGGAGATTTTCCGCAGCATCCAGGCGACCAGTGAGGCTCTCGGCTTCGAACTGGACATGCCACCCGCCGCCGCAGCACCATTGGTGAGCAGCGAAGAGATGGCCGCCGCTGCTCCCGGCAGCCGACTTATCGCTGAGGCTGCCGTGCGCATTGCCATCCACGGATGCGCCGGCTGTCTTGCTGGTGTGGGCAGTGTCCGCGAAGCCTCGCCGCAACTCCAAGACCTGATGCGCGTCCCTGTGGACGCACCCGAACGTCAAAAACCACAGTGGCTACTCAGCCTTGTCCAGACCAGACGTCGCGAAATGCTCAGCCAGGCTCTCAACGCTGCTATCGAATCCTACCACTGGGAAGTACTCAAAGGTCGCGAAATGCTCGCCTTTGTCGAGTCGTGCTTCCGCAAGAACAAACGTCCCGCCGAACCCGCGGGAGAAGTGATTAGAGAAATCACAAACGACGCCAGTCACCAGATGGTGACCCAACAGCAGATGGTGGGCCAACGCATGGTTGCCCACCAGAGCTCCCTGGTTGGCCAACAAGTGGTCGAACAGCATACCGTTGGACGCCAGATATCCGGGCGGCAGATGGTAGGCCAGCAAATGATTGCACGCCAGATATCAGGGCCACAGATGGTAGGCCAGCAAATGATTGCACGCAAGATATCAGGGCCACAGATGGTTGGCCAACAGGTGGTGGGACAGGTTGGCGCCACCCAACACGCACGGGTGACAAGCATGCAGGTGTCTGCGACCCGAGCCACGAGTACAGCCACGAGCCCAACTAATATGCAGACGCAGTACGCAGGTCTGCCTCCGGCGCCGGTGATGGTTACAGCGGAAGTGACACGGAGAGTTTCCGAGCATTTTCAACGAGTCAGCTCACCTGCGGGCAGCATTGGATCCCCCGCGAGGAGCGTGCAGCCCGCGACCATCCAGTATGCAACCATGCAGCCCGTGGCGACCAGCGCCACGGTGCAGGCGACTCGGATGGTGATGCAACCCTTCGTGGGAGCGTCGCCGTTCGGTCTGTCTCTGACGAGGACGGCTTCTTCGCCCGTGGATTCCGGCTCGCAGCAGCAGAGGCCCGGGGTCGTCCGCACGACAACGATGCCCCCCACGATACCCCCCACAAGGGTGACCTCGACCTTCCAACAGATACAGCAGGTGTCCAGCGCGCAGGCGGGTAGTCAATCGCCGCAAACGACCGCTGCCTACGTCCCGGATCCTGCGATGCCGAAGGCGGGTGATATTGGGCCTACGTCCAGCAGCACCGCAAGGATGCAGCTCGAGCAGAAGGCCCACGCTCAGTTTAACCAGATGCTGCGTCAGAACCACGAACAGAGGGAGAGCAGTCCCAGCAATGTAGTGATGACCCGCACCATGCTTGGTGCCTACCCCTCGGGTCTAGCCGCGACGGGTCTACCCACAACAGGTCTGCCTGCCACCGGTGTAAGTACCATTGGTGTAAGCGCAACTGGCGGTGCGACCATGCCCGGTCTAACCACGACCGGTCTAACCACCACTGGCCTAACCACCACTGGCCTAACTACCGCTAGTTTGAGTACCGCTGGCCTCGAGGAGATGAATATTCCGTCGTTGTTGAGAGCTAGTCCTAGTGCTACTAACAATGTTATTGGGCGGCTGCCCATTTCCCCGGCCTCGCAGGCTACTATTCCTAACGTCATGACGTCTCCTTCGCCTGCCGTTTTTGTGCAACGAGATCTGAAGGGATCCAAGAACCCTGGCGGCTCTCCGTTAGCCGCTTTGGAGGCAACACACTCAAAATCCTACATCACGGCACTCTACAAGGCGACTCAGTAATTCGAGGGTCGATATCGTTTTTGGTTTGAAAGAATTTACCCGTCGACGTGTCCGATATCAGTATCGAGCTGAGGATTAGAGAATTCGAGCTTGGCCCAAGCGGGCCTGATCGGGCCGAGAGCGTGCTCAAATTTTTATTGGACAATGTGTAGACTCACGGTAAATCTGGGGAAGATTGGTTGCTTGTGGACGCCAAGAGGGACGGGCGCTGAGAGTGAACATTGGGCAATGCAATATTGGTAACTTGTAGGCAATTTTGTCGACGAAGCATCCCATACTTGTGGAGGATATAGTGACGAAGCCTAAGCTTTCTATTATTTATCAGTCATTTAACTGTCATGAGAGGCTTCCAAGAGATAAGCCCCGATGGGCTTACGAAAAATCGACATTGAATGGGGACGGGTTTGGAGTCGGTTGGTATGTCCCGAGCCCTCACAAGCCCTTGGTTACAGAGCCTGGTGAGCCTTGTGTGTTTCGGTCGTTGAAGCCTGCGTGGAGTGACCGTAACCTGAAGTCTTTGGCGGCGAAGACAGCGTCGAATTTAATTTTCGCACACGTGCGTGCAGCGGGGCCGGGAAGCGGCGATCCGACGGAGGCCAAGTGCCATCCTTTTCAATGCGGTCGATTTATGTTTATGCATAATGGATTGATCGCTGATTGGGAAAATATGCGTCGGGGATTGATGAGGAAGCTTAAGACAAACTTGGCGTACGACTTTGCTCTGGATCATACACCCATTGACAGTATCGTAGTATTCGCGCTATTTATAGATTTGTTAGAAAGGGGACCGAGTGCGGAATACACGGCAAACGAAATCCGTAGTAGATTTGAACAAGCACTGATGACTATCGCACTAGTGTGCGACGAACTGCAGGTAGAGGCAGTTAGCTATCTCAATCTGGCCATCACTGATGGCAACACTATTGTGGCAAGTAGGTTTGCCATAGACACGTATAGTAGGAGGTGGGCGGCTAGCAAGAAAAACACTTGCCAATCACTCTCTCTTTACTTCGCCTCGGGCACCCGCTGGGTTCCAGAGGCGCAAGGCGACTATAGAATGGTTCAGACGGACAAGCGTCATGAAGTCTGCATAATATCGTCTGAGCCACTAACCGACATCCGCTCGGAATGGGTGCCGGTTCCGCACAACCATATCATGATTGTAACGAACAAATGCGACGTGCTCTTGCAACCGATCAAGCCCCGCTGTTCCGGGGGTCCCCGGAGCCTGCCGATCCGACATCCCGCCGAACTCGCTCTCGGCTCCAGTCGTGGCGAACACCCGAATACACACTCGGGTGCTGAGGTGAGTGCCCACAAGGACCAAACACATAGTCCTGAGCACCGGGCGCGCGTGGCCAGGCAACTCGGCACAGTGCACCAGTCGCTGCGTTCTTTGGTGGATGAAAACGAGGTCGAGGAGGCACTGGCCTGCGGCGTCCTAGGCGAAGATAGCGAACCCGACGAGACGCTCGCGTGGGCCGCCCGTACGAGTCCGGCGACCGTGAGCGGTACGGGGCAACTGCGCAGCGGTAGCCACGCAGTCATGTGTCTGTGCTCACTCGAGTTACCCCACCGTGACCCGCTCTCTGACGCGGTCTACGAGACCCTTTATATACTCGCCGGCGCATCCGACGGCGCTATCGCCATCTGGCGCAACGGGACCTTGCTCGGAACCATGCAGGGACACAAGAGCAGCGTTCTCAGCATGAAAATATACCAACAACCTAACCAGACTGACAAGGCGGAACCACCCCTGACCCAGGCGGGGCAAGCAACCCTGCCCGATCCGGCGTCGTCTGCGGGGTCGCGCTCCACCGCGAGCGGTTCCGCGCGATTGTGGCTGATTACGAGTAGCAGTGACGCGACGATTGCGATCTGGCGGTTGCCGGAGGTCTTGGCTGACTGCGCAGCTGGGAAGGTGCGGCCTGTCGGGCACTACCTGTACCGGCTCTCGTTCGAACCGATGCAGGGTGACGTTCTGGCCATGTACGTCAAGGCGCTTGTCTGCCGCGCCTCCAGCATCTCCGCGCGGGGTCACCGCTGTAAACGGGACCCCAAAGCACCACCGGCCGAGCCACTCAGCTGGCGACGGGACTGCCTCTTCTTCGGCGCCCAGAGTACTGCCGTCGGCGGCATCCGGCTTTGCTCCCTCATCGACCGCCTCCTCCACTGCAGCAGCCTCAACCGCCGCACCGCCAATGCCAGCGGGAGTACGGAACTTCACACGGGGAGTACGGAACCCCGCGCCGGCGCTTGCGGTAGTGCTATGTGCACGCCGCAGTCTTGCAGTCTGGCCCGGTACCTAGTGACGGACTGGACAGGCGCCCCGGAGATCGTGCTCAACGTCACCAATCAGGTCACTCTGCCGGAAGACGAGGCCGTGACCCCTTTGACGCTCGCGGTCGTCGCCGCCCAGAGCATGGGCGTTCGAGTCGACCCGGAGCCGTTTGTGAGCGGCATTCCCCAAAACAAAAGGGCCAAACACGCAGTGTGCAGCGAAATCGCAACACCCCAGCCAGTACCGGCCCAAGACAGCCCCACAGTCAGCAGCGGTCTCCCCCACTACGGTCTCCACCACGGCAGCGGTCCCGAGGGCACTTGTGCAGAGTTGCAGATCGGCGAGAGTCTTGACAGCCTCGGTTCCGTCAGCCGAGACGATTATGCTCGGAGCTCCGGACTCAGCCGGGAATCGCTGGTGAGCAGAGAATCGCTGGTGAGTAGGGACTCGCTGACCAGTGATAGCGCCGTGTCGAGTGGGCAAGAGAACCTTCGTCTCCGACAGAACGAAGACTTATCAGACGTGAAAGACCAAAGGCTGCCTGGACTGAGTGCTGGCAAGCTGGCAGATGGTGGAGCGGATTTGAGAGGCGTCGTGGAGGCGGCGGCGGCTGCGGCGTCTCCGGTGGCGAACTCCCGGGATGGCGAGTCTCGGAACCGTGGTGCCGAATCTCGGTCTATCCGAACGGGCGGTGCGACTTCAGCCTGCAGTGGATTCGAATGGGCGGTATTGAATACGGACCAGAGTGTAAGTCACTGCAGTTTCGTAGACGCCATGGTTGAGGTGGGTAGCTATTTGGTTACAGGTGGTGGTGACGGCTTAATTGTGTTGTGGTTGGATGGGCAACCGAAGTTTGTGTTAAGTGGTCATACGGGCGCAGTCTTGTCGCTTGCTGGGGACAGTCGGCTGCAGACGCTCTATTCGGGCTCGCGAGACGGGACAGTGCGCGTCTGGGACCTGGAGTCGCGCAGTTGCGTCCAGGTTTTGCGCGGGCATCGCAGCGATGTCTTAGCGCTCTGCATCCGCGGCGACCTGCTTATTTCTGCTAGCACTACGGACGAGGTCTGGGGCTGGCACCGGCGCTGGAACCAACCGGTGGTGCGTTTTACCAGCGCGGCGGGCTCTTCCGCCGGTTCTTCCGCCGGTTCGCCGACTGCCGCACACGTGTGCGACGCGCGCCGCGGAGCATCTCGGAACAGAAATCGCACCATTCGGACGCCCCCGCGGGCGCCGAGGCCGGCGACAGTGGTCACGGAGCTCACCGTAGCGGGCCAGATGCTCCTGGCCGCCTGCGGCGACGGCAGTATCCGGCAATGGAGTCTGGACTTCGAGGTGCCCAGCTGCCTCAGCTCCGCTTCCGGCGCCGTGCCGCGAGTGAGCGACGTATGTCCGCTGACGCGCGAGACGCAGTGCCCCTCCCTCGCCACTCTTACCGACTGGAGTCTGCTGCTCGAACAAATGCTCAAGTACCTCGTCCCGCTGCGCTCCATTTCCGGAGAAACCGTCCACCTACCCGACTGCTGGGCCGTCGCCAAACGCATCGGCCGTCTCTTCGAAGCCGCCGGCTGCAGCACTTCCCTAGTCAACGTCGACGCTGCCGTCGGTCCCATCGTCCTCGGCCGCCTCGGCACAGACCCGCGGAAACCTACCGTCCTCCTCTACTCCCACTACGACGTCGTCAGCGCCGGCAGCGAGGCCGCCTGGACCTTCGACCCCTGGGACGTCCAACTCCTCAACGGCTGCTTCTACGGCCGCGGCACTACCGACAACAAAGGCCCGTTGGTCGTGCAGATCATGGCCGCCCGGATCCTCGGCGGCGGCGCCGTGGCGGGAGTGCAAGCTGAGGGCAGAGTGCAGAGCAGCGGCAGAGAACAAGAGGAGAGCAGAGTGCAGGACGCCGGGTTGCAAGAGGCGCCCGTTAACCTGGTGTTAGTTTCAGAGGGGGCGGAGGAGGTGGGGAGCACGGGGTTTTCGGAGTTCATTGACAAGTACCTGAAGACAATCAAGATCGACTACGCGATTTTTTGCAACTCATACTGGTTAGATGACTCGAGGCCGTGCATCGTGTACGGGATGCGCGGCTTGGTCGACTTGGCGGTGGAAGTGCGAGGCGGCCAGGACGCAGTGGGGTTGCACAGCGGTATCCACGGCGGCGCGGTGCACGAGACTATGAAGGAGTTGATGGCGGTGGTGGCTCAGACGGCGGGGCCGCAGGGCACGTTGGAGCGGGACCTGGAATTCCAGAACGAAGTGCGCATAAACCCAGCGTCGTTGGGTGTGATTGAGCAGTTGTGTGACGAGGGCGTATTCACGCTAGAGAAATATGCTCACGCGACCAAGAAGGCGTCCATCCGCAAGAAATGCGCGTCTACGCTTATGCGCAAACGATGGTGCGAACCTTGTATCTCCATCACGGAAGTGTGCAGCTCAGCCCAAGAAGCCGAACTGCGCGGCAAAAACTTCCACATCCTCCCTAGCCTGAGCAGGGCACATATCAGCATCCGCACCGTGCCCGATCAGTCGGTTGACACGGTCGTGCAATGCGCCACAAGGCATCTGGAACGCGCGTTCGCGGCCCTCGACACGCCCAATACACTCACTGTCAAGGTCATGAAAAAACTCGACTGGTGGTCTGGAGACACGTCCAGTGCGCTCTACAAGGCGGCAGAGGCCGCCATCGCCGCGGTCTGGAACACACCGCCTGTGTACATCTGCGAAGGCGGCTCCATCCCAGCCTGCCAAACCATACAAAACAAACTCCGAGTACCCACGATTCAAATACCCATCGGCCGGGCCAGTGACAACGCCCACCTCGCCAATGAACGAATCGGCGTGGTCAATCTTGTGAATGGCATCAAAATCCTCACACACATCTTCAGCAACTTAAACTAGCATTTATTGTTAATAAATAATGACTGTTATTTAGAGGAGTCCGAAGAAACACCAGCCAAAAGAAGCGAAAAGGCAAAGTCCCGTCACAAACTCTCGAGCACGAGTGGATTTATCTTGTTTTGGACTAGCAGGCTTGTTAATCAGAGGGTCAATTCCGAGGCTTGCACGCGCCAGACATCGAGCCAGAGTTATTCCAATTGGCGGTACGTGTGCTTCAAGCACATGTCCCGTCTTCGCTCACGTAACGCCCGTAGAGGAGGCGCATTACTTCGGTGGGTAGCAAAGCGGTGTTGCCTAACCGGAGTCCCGACAGGCGGTGCAAGGTTGGGGGGAAAAAAGCATTTTCTTCAAAGCGGCTACTGGTCATTCTGCGTCCGAGTCGTCGTCGCATTCGGCGTCGAATTTGGAGAGTTGTTCTTTGGCATCTTGAACTTTCTTTTTTTCGACGTCTTCTCGTTTTTTTTTGATCCATGGGAGGTAGTCTGAGAAGTATTCTTTCTTGAGGTCTTGAATCAATTCGGTGCAGCGTTCGAAGCCCGTAAGGGTCCTGGTTTCACCGTTTATAGCTACCGCGGTTCTGGGAATGGTTGTGTAGAACGGCGAGAGGGCCAAGCAGCAGGATTTGGCCATTGATGCCGCGTATGTGTCCTCTTGCTCAGCCGCGTCACAGAATGCTGCGTAGTCCTGGATCATATCTTCTAGTGGTTTGGACGATGCTAAGTCTGTCTTGGTGAAAACGTTTAGGCATGGAAGCTTGCTTTTGAGGGTCAAGCTGGAGGCGTACAACAAACTGGACATTAAAGTAGTGGGGCGCTGGCAGCGCACGCTGTCCACCAAATAGACTAAGGTAGCAGGCACGACGAGGGCCAGAGTATCTAATATAATCGTTCCACTGGCGCTCCAGTTGAACACTTCTATTTGGCCCGGGGTGTCTATCAGCACATAATCTAGTTCCAACATGCGCCGCTCAAGCAAGTTTAACACACCATCAAAACGTGTGGCAAACAAATTCAGAGATGTCAATATCGCCCCATTGGGTCCCAAACCGTACTCCTTCATCACCTCGCGGTAGTTGACTGTGTCTCGAATGTCAATGTTGCATGGAAAATTGACATTATCCACGGCCGGATCAATATTTATGCAATAGACCCGCTTTTTCGCAACCGTCGCCAAATACGTATACAGTGCGCTGACAAACGTGCTCTTCCCAGCTCCAGCCATTCCAATCACCACTATCGCCACCGGCCGGTGCTCATTCTCCAGCGGCAGCGAGTCACTCATAATCTTTTTTATCTTCCCGCCACCGGGGCCCCGCCAGCGAAGCTGCCCCCCCCCCCCC